CTGTTTAGGTAGATCTGAGTCCAAATAATGTATCATACTGACAACTGGTAGGAGATGGGTCGATAAAAAGAGTTCTAAGTGCAAGTACTTGGTTATTAGTGTCTGATGTGGTTTTTGTATAGAGCTAAAAGTGTGGGTTTGAAGAGCTGTATATACAGTGAATACTAATGGAGGTGTATAACAAATTGGAATGGCAGTTGTATTTCAACTGCTTGATCTTTCCTTACCCAGATGATCCCTGAAGTTTTTCATTTACTTTAAACTGGTGCCAACACGTGCTAGGCATTAAATTAGATTGCAAAACCTATATCCATAAAAAGGGGGGATGGGAATGTGAATTGTTGAAACCATTTGGCATGAAAAAAGGTTCCACAGAATGGGAACTGTATATAGTTCCAATCCTGGAATTATATTCCTGTTGGGTAAAAGAACTAGGAAATTTACTTTTTAAAGGGAAAAGATAAGACAGGAGGATTCTGCCTTTAACAAAAGGAAATAGAGGTAATGCAGGTGGCTGCTGCTCTATCCACCCTGCTATGCGCTTTAGAACTCGGCTTTAGAGGCAGCACCAAGATGGTGCGATTCACTGCTTCAACTGCTTTCTCAATCCAAAATCTAAAGACACTTAAGAATTCTCAGTCATTGCCTGACTGATAGGAAGAACCATGGTGTGTGTCAGAAATAATGTAAAGAATCATTATGGTTTTATTTCTTCATGTTATTGCCTGGTTTTCATGACTGCAGTAAAAAGTAAACTTTTTGCTCTGCATAACATTTCCAACATTGCCCAGAGCAATAAACCCAGAGCATTTATCTAGAGATTCTGATCTGAGCTAAGGAGTGTGATTTGCAGCCCCTGCAAAGAAGCAATAGTCATAGACAGGTTTGTAAGCCTACTGTCTCCCAGGAATCTGCAAACCTCTGTGCTTAGAGGAAATAGCAGCTTTTCTAGGAACTCTAATTTCCGGCATGTAGTTTACCTAAGACATTGTCATGTGTTTCCAGGGCAGGGCCACCTCCAAAGAAAACTGATGTTACATTAAAAAGTACCTTTATGTGTAGAAAAATTCTTCATAGTATTGGATCTGCTTCACATGCATGTATCTTCAAAATAATTTATTTTAACTTACATTTGAAGATTTTAGTGATAGTAATCAAATCTGAGACAACTCTGACTTCCAGATCGCTTCTTGAGCTAATTACATTAGAAAAAACTTTTTTATGTAAACTGATCCAAACAAGTTACAGTTTTGTAGATTTGCAAAGTATGTTTTGTGTCAAATACAAGTGTGGAAGAACTCTAGCATTCTTAGAAATTATATCCCTTATTCTAATAAAAGAACTAAATCTTGTGATCTGTATGGCCATTACCACTAATTTAATACATGGGATTTAAGGCAAAGTTTTGCGGGAATTCTTTTTTCTGCAGAAAGTATGACTACAGAATCTAAGAACTCTTCCCTAATTTCCCATTTGTTCCTGTGCCGATTTGAGAGTTGTCTATTTCAAAAGCTTTCTTACTCTATCTGAAAGAAAAACACGATAACGATAGTTGCCATAAATAAATAGAAATGAGTGCCAGCTAAATAAAGCTATTAAATATGGAAGAGCTGAAGAATGGAATCCACTGCTGTGTGGACTGTTAATGGATCCCTGCAACTGAGACAGCATGTGGATGTGGCGGTTGTTCCCAGTCTATGACTAATAAGAAAAAAAAACCACTAAGTTTCAAGTGAAAAAACAGGAGAATGTTGATTATGGCTTCTGTCATGGAAAGGAACATAGATGTGATCCATTTTAGTCAAGGGTGTCAGTGGAATTCACAGATGTATTCAAATGTAGGATTCACCGTCTGTTTAGTAGAAATGCCCTGCACAGCCATATGCTCCAAAAATGCCATGGATGCTGTTGGTTGTCTTAATAAGTCACCTGTAATGACTGAAAAAAAAAAAAATGGACCTGTTAAGCTTTTTTCTCAACAAGGAAATCTGTTTTGCTTTAAGGAAGCTCAATTGCTGTGGTAGCAGCTTTCTTAGATAAGGCACCTGGAAGACAATACTATAAACAATGTTTCTGCAAGGCTGGTTTTTGTGGTGTCCTTGTTCCAAAAACCCCCCCCAATTGGTTGCAGGTTAGCTCAGATAGGAGAAATTTGGAGGCATCTAAAAACAAATTAACATGATCAGTAATAGTGGGGGGGTGGGGGGGACGGTATTTGAAAAAAAATGCCATGATTCATTCAGGAAGTTGTTATTATTGCCTGTAATATTTCTCTTTTACTACAGGAGCCATTGTGAGACGCATAAAGAGATCTGAAACAGTTTCAGAAGTTTTGCAAAAGCTCAGAAGTCTATAAATTCTATTCTGAATTGGGCAAACTTGATTTGAGCTACTAGAGCCATCATTCCTGTTGTTAGTGAGACTACAGAATTAATTTATTGTTGTTGTGTGGCATTGTAATAGCACTATTAAATAGTGACCAGCTGCATTACTAAAAGGTATTTAATTGTGTCTTAAAATTTAACAGAGTTGCATATGCTCTTAAGTCAGATTTATACAAACTACACTTTAAGGCAAGAGACTGTAAAATGATTTAGATATCCTTGCTGGGGTAAAGAATTCAGAATTCATTTAATGATAAGCTAACATATAGCAGAAACAACATTTACGCTTCCTCCCCCACCCCCCTGCCAGGTAATTCTCAGATAATTGAAATCATCCTATGGCAAATAATTTTATAGGAATGTCTAAGGATGGCATTGACTTTAACATTCAAAAGCAATTGAGTTGGTACACAGTGAAATTCCTCGTATAGGCTTTTCTCCCCGAGGACAGAACTGGAATAGGTCAGATTGTTAGTTTTTGTAAACTGGATGGGATAATTTAGATTCCATATACCATTTTTTACTCTTTTATTTCTTTGTCAAGCAACTGGAATGTTTTTGTGCTAGGTATCAAGTAGAAATTGGAGATGTTACCCTAGGAATAAAAGCCTCATTTCATCCTAGTTTTCATGTTTTTCATTATTCTCAGAAGAATGGAAATATTTAACTTAGTAAAACTGAATTAGTCCTTCCTTTTTAACATTCAGACCAGAGGCTGAAGACAGTAAGCATTTGTTTTCATCTTCTGAAATTTTATGCTCTTGGGGTTTACTGAATTTCTATTTCTGGGTGTTTAAAATTAAGCTCTCGGTGCCCTTCTGAGGAAGTGCTATTCATCAAACTGCATCTTTTTGGAAATTTACCTGTATTTTGATTGTCTTGGGAGCAATGCTATATTATTCTTACTTGGATGGTTTGCCAATCTTCAGAACAACTAGGAAGGAGACTTAAGACCTTTTTTGAAAAATTTAGTCTTTTTATAATTGCATGGTACTGTGAAATTTCTGCAACTACAGTGTTATGCTTCATTTCAGGGTAATGTTCAGTATGGAATATGATATACTTAAAAGATTTAAGGTAGTAACTCAGTTATCTGTCCTGCCTGAACACAAAATGTGTTCCAAGCACCATTTAAACTTTATGATAACGTGCAAAACCTAAGATTTATGGAATATCGTCTGAGAACCTGTTCACGTTAAGAACATCCTAGAAAAATATTCTCCACTTTAACTAACAGTGGTTCAGCTCTCATTGTACCACTGTAGCAGACATTGATTATATGGGCTGTTGAATCCTTTTTAAAGACATTGCTGCATAATCCTGTTGGATTTAATTGATAGGGTTACTGGCAGTAATGGCAGCTCCTGATGTACTTAAATGATAGCTCTCAGTGTCGCGTCTCATGGTGGATAAGAAGAAATTATACGTCTCTCTCTATATATAGGTGGGGACAGACTGAAGTGTTTTATCTTAATAGGGTAATGATTTTGTATTGTGGTTATCTTTGTGTGTATATCAAACTGGACTTTTCAATGTGTTATGCAAAATTTTTAAAAATCTTAGGAATTGTCATGAGTCTGGGGCAGGCAGACAGATCACCAATACCCCTTTAAGTACAAGTTCAGAGGTGAGGAAGATAATTCAAGTTTCTCACATTCACTGTTAGAGGAAAGAAAGAACTATTGATTGGGAAGATAAGACTGTGTAAAAGAAAGTAAATTTAGCAGTTCTGGCAGTTCTCTTTATAGAGAATGATTAATTAAGGGGGTAGCATGGATTGGATATCGGTCTTAGGCAAAGTAATAACACCACAGTTTGATTTTTTTAAAAATTGTAAATATGTAGTAATTATGACTATTATCAATTATATAATTCTTTTTGTAACATTTTATTTGAAGGAAAGAAGGATGGGAGACTATATTCTGTGATTATAAAACACCAATTGACTTATGATCATACGGTATCTAGAGTGTCAGGGAGGAAATGCTGGTATTCAGAAACTAGAAAAGAAATACTTTTAATTAGTGCCTGTAGTGCAGCCCTTGCTATTTATTGCTCAGCCACAGCTTTGAGACTTACCTGTGGCTTTCCCTGCTTTTGGAATTTCTCAAAATGTTGATTTGTTTGCTTGTTCAGAAAATAATTTCTGAAAATGTTGCTAGCACATTTCAATAAATGGCTGATTGTCTCTTCATACTGCATAATATTGGTGTATTTTAGCAAAGAGGAAGAAACCACTATGGTTTAGATCCTGGCAGAATTTAAAAATCTCAAACTTCTAATAGTTAAAACCAAGAAATAATTTCATTATTGGAGAAAAAAGAGGAATAGTTCTGCCATATAGCTTTTTTGAGGGATGAGGTAAACAGGACTTGATGGCTGTGGAGAACAAAACCTGACACAAATAGATGGTTTAAAAAACTATGACATATGTCACTTTGTGGTGCCTACTTGGATTTCCACTGAGAACTTGTAGAAACGTGGTAAATTGAAATAAAACAAAAAGTCTCAAATGATATTTGTTGTGGCTCCATACTCACTTTGTAGATGGAAAGTTAAGTAGTCAGGGGGTTTATTTCTGACAATGAGAATCTTTCTTTTTCTATTCTTTGACAGCCACGAGCTGTCGCTGGTTTTCGAGGAACAGTACGATATGCATCAATCAATGCTCATAGAAACAGAGTGAGTATCTCGGTCTATATCATATCCATCTCATGTAGCTGAAAGCAGTAACGCAGTTGCTATTGATTTCCTTTTTTGTATTCTTATGTGTGTATTTATTATGTAGAAATTAATACTTATAAATTCTGGGAAAGGATACTGTACAGTACTTGAGGGTAAAAATGTTCTTGTAGAAATAATAGTGGTTTTAATAGTTACCTTTGGTGTTGTATTGTAAGTTAATAAATTAAAAAGGTGAAGGTACTGAGTTTATAAAATATGTGATGTCCAGCATGTCATCTTAACATCATACACTAAAGAAATCTGAATAAACAGCTTTTCCATTATAGAGATATGCAATGTTATTTTAGCACACTTCAACTTCTGTTTTGCTTCTCTGAATCTTATATGGAAATTTACTTGTATGCTTCTACTTTGTTGGATTTAATTACACAAACTTGTATTGCAGCATTGATTTTATTAATTATCATATATAATAATTTAAGACTCCAGAGCAGTAAAGAATCTATCTTCCCTTTTGTCTTATGGGTATTTGTATGATGCATTAGAATAATATTTCTTTTTCACAGGAAATGGGTCGGCATGATGACCTCTGGTCCCTGTTCTACATGTTGGTGGAATTTGTGGTTGGGCAACTGCCTTGGAGAAAAATAAAAGATAAGGTAAACGGAGAAGTGAAACCAAAGAGCGCGAGGGAGATACACTTCTGGATTGCAAGCGAATGCTGTTATAAAGATTCCACTAAGAATCACTGGTTCATTAATTTTATCATTACATTTTCCAGTGTTTTCTAGTGTTAGTTCTCTTTGCTAGTGTCATGGTATAAAAATCAATCAAATTTTATGAACTGTTCTAGGCAGGATGTGGATTGTGCTTCTAGTTTGCAAATGTTGTAATAGGCAAAAGTAAGTGTATATACACCACTTATTTAATTTTCCTGTTTTCACTTGAGTACTCTGATTTCACCTATCACACATTTAGAATTTCTTATCTATTTTGATTATTTGTGAAATGAGCATTTCTTATTTGCTGGTGAACAAAAGTGAACCAATCAATATGCAATAGTGCCTTTAAGTCATATATCATAGGTGAGGTATGCAAAAAAAGGTCTAATTAGCCTATTATTGCTTCTTTCAACTCCTTTTGAAATTAGATTGAAACAAGGTTACTGTCTTATGTGGTTTATGCATTGGTAAATGACAACATGGTATATAGGTAGCATCTCTTTTTTTGGTTTCGATTTACTTACTCATCTTGCACTAAACAGGATTTACTAATCTTATGCAATATACTGTGATGACCAAATAGACATCAAAAAGTGGCTGAACTTCAGATGATGCACCAGGATATTTAAATCTTTAAAACATGCTTTTTAGAAGGGTTGGAGTGTCTAATAACAGTCCTTGATATCAGGCAGCATTCAAACACAGCAGAAAATTAAATGGCTTTTTGTATTGAATTTGAAGTTTGTACATTATTTTTGAATGTGTACTGAGGGCAGTGACAGAATCTCTTATCTTGCTACCTGATGTAGAATGGCCTTCTGCAGTAATATTCAGTGTAACATACTTACCCATCTTTCTGGCCAGTAGTGTATTGAATGGCTGTAAGATACAGGGTGAATATGCTGTAGCACAGAATGAAGGCGTGTTAATATTTGTTGTGTTATTTACTCCTAGGAGCAAGTGGGTTCCATTAAAGAAAGGTACGAGCACAGACTTATGCTGAAACATCTTCCTCAAGAATTCAACATCTTTCTGGATCACATTTCTAATTTAGATTACTTTACAAAGCCTGATTACCAGGTAAACGTTTTTACTGTTTTGTCTTTCTGATTTTTAAATAGCAGAATTTTATGCTGTTTCATCTTCAATTTCCTTTGATTTCATTGTGTAGTCTTGGTAGTGATTATGGATTGTGCCACCACAAAGTTATTTTAATGACCATCTAGTGCCACGGAAACTTTGCGGTTCCAAGATGTCATTTTTTTCCATTTGGGAAGAGTAAGGCAGTTAAGTTTGTAAAAATGATTGACAGTTGCTTGCAGTCAGTATTCTGTTAGGATTGAGTGCTGTCCTACTATCGTAGCCTCTAGTGGGTGCTCCTTAAGTTAAATCGATCAGATTGTTTTCTCAGTGATAGTCATTCTGGCAGTTTTCCAAAATCTGGAGCTCAGCACCTACAATATATACAGCTAGAGCACAACATGCAGCTGTGGTGGTTTTTTAAGACTGTAGTATTGCCTACAGAGATCACCAGAAAACTAGCAATTTTTCTTTGTTTAAGAGAGTATTGCCTGCTGAAATGGACAGCCTCAGCTCGGCGATAAGGTGATAGGTGCCGAGAAGATATGCTGTAGAATATGTGTCTTATTCACTCAGTGTTGACCCATGATTTAACAATAAATAAAACTCAAAGACAGAACTTTGTTCTATACCAGTATGTGGAAAGCAGCAGAGGAATGCTTAGGAAAAGCAGGGAGGGAGAGACTGAGAGTTTTTTCAGTCTCACAAACTGTGGGAGAAGTTGAACTGATCTAACATCACACCACGACAAATTGTCCTTGTGTGCCTTCCCTGTGGCTCCCAGAAACGCACATTCCTGTCAGCTTTCCACGTGCATTACCTGTCTGCCTCTGTGCATTTGCTCAGCTCACTAACTCAGCAAAACCAGAAGAAATGGTTTTCTGGTGGTGTGCAAGCTGAATTGGTTCAACTTAATAAATAAATCATTCTGACTAATTCTGGAATTGTAACTTTGATAAGAATGATTCCTGTGCTTTATTTGGTAAGATTAACAGAGAAATATGTAAGATTTGAAATAAGACCTGAAAATCTCAAGGGATAACTAATTTCTTGTTAGTAAGTGAATTTCTCTAAATGTACTGGTATGTTTTTCTGCACATTTGAAAAAAAAAAATCAATTTTTATGCAAAAACTTGAATATAAAAAAAATCTTTTTACAAATACAGAAAATGTTCAGCATTCCTGAAAAATAAGTACCCTGATTTTTTTTCCCTTTTCTATTACAAACTTCCATGGAATTTATGCTATAGTTTACAATTAAGTGAGGAAAATTATTAAGAAAGTTTTGAGTGTTTTGTGTGCCTAGTTACAAAGATGAATCAGATTTTTTTTTTTTTCTTCTATGGCAAAAATTACTGATTGCAGAAGTTTTGATGTTGCATAGAAAAACCTTGATTGTAGACTGCTGTATATGTTTTACTTACATTATATATCCTGAGTGATAAAACATATGCACAGGCATATTTTTGCAAAACTTTTTTCTGTGGTATACTTGTATTGAACACAGCCCATGCACTCAGTGATTAACGTGATACCAGGACAGAGTTTCTCCATGATAGAGACAGCCTGGTAATCTACAGTCCTCTGGTTGGTCATGGAACATTTGCAGTTGTGTAGCTGCAGCCTGAGCCTTCCGACATGGTCTTGCTCATGTGCTTTAGACCAGAGCAAGGTGGTGTTATTTAGAGTGGTGACAAAGTGCTTTACTCTCCATGGTCATTTAAGCTCTGGTCTCTCTTAACTAGTATTTGTTGTAGCAATGCTATTCATACCTTCAATATATATCATTCTTTGTTCATATTTATGGTTAGGCACTGAACAAGAATGTACATGGTTAAGATCCCTGCTTTGAAGAGTTTGCAGTCTAAAAAGTTCATGATATAGACCCAGAATCCACGTTTGATTTGGCAATGTCAGATATGTTTATTTTATTCAGGTATTTATGCACACATTGCCTCAGCCTCCTGACTTCATTAAGCATTTCAGTTTGTATTTGCATTATAGCAGAAATTGTAGAAAAGATTTAAAGGAGAATGACCTTAAAAATTGCTTCGGAGAGACTGCTTAAGGTTTACAGGAAGAGGAGAATAAAGGAGAGTACGTATGGGACAGAAGAGTGAACTATGGCGCAGTTCAGTAGGGTTTCAGAACTGACTGGGATAGATGGCACACAGAAGGTTCTTGAGTAAGGATAAAATGGATACAACCACTTTATACAAGAAAAATGATCCAAACTTCCCATCTGTTTTAAGTTGCCAAAGGGTATGTGTTTTTAAATGAGGCCAGAGAAACATTTTCAGCGTCCTGGATTGGATGAAGGAATGAAAACTAGAGTTTTAGTTTTTAGGATTAAAAAAAAAAAGATTATTTTTAGAAATGTTACTGAGTAAGACATGATGTGATATGGACACAGCCTTCCCACCAGTGACTAGAATGAGACAAAGTTTTTTCACAGGGAGAGGAAAGTAGATGCAATTTCTTTCTCTGTCATGGATACAAATTGTTCTAGATGCTTTTTCATAGCATAAAATGAGGGTGGAAAGCTTCCAGTGTGACATTTCTGTGGGATGAATGTCCCATTACAGCATTAGATAAAGTAAATGATACATGGTTCTAAATTACAGAAATGTATGAATTAGCAAATCAGTATCCTTCCCTACATACTCCTCATTAATTTCCTTGGTTTCTAATGGTGTTACCGAATATATTCTTTTATATTCCTCTGCTGCAGAGCCATTGGATGCTATTCTGTGGCAATATAGTCATGCATATATGTGTGTGTTTGTCCGTCTTTTTATGGAAGCCTATGCTGTATCTTTGCCTCTCTTTACTGATAAAAACACAGGTGTGTGATTTGGGTTTTTTTTTTTAAATAAAACAGAATTTTGCATATCTTGACTTTGAAACTTTGGAAAATGAAAAATCGTTAATATAAAGAACTGTGTCCTTTTTTTGGAAAATTATGGTCAGTCAAAATCTTAAAGAAGAGACACGTTAAAGTATTACAGGAGGATATTTCTTAATCGCTTGGTCTCTTAGACAAAAATGAAGCTTATTAACTGTTTTTCTTCATTTTTAGCTTCTCATGTCTGTGTTTGACAACAGCATGAAAACATTTGGGGTTATTGAAAGTGACCCTTTTGACTGGGAGAAGAGTGGTACTGATGGCTCTCTGACAACAACAACAACTTCAACCACACCTCAGTTACACACTCGTCTTACTCCGGCTGCAATTGGGTACGTATGCACATTGTGGTCACTTAAAACGCAGCCGCAGAGTACCAAAGGGAAATTATCTCCATAATTTAGTTTTTTTCTGCAGAATGTTGAATAAATAGAGGAATGGAGGTTTGGGGGCATTTGAAGTATTTCCCTTTTTAGGGTTCCTGTTTAGGGTTCCTGAAAGATCAGCACTGCAGTCCTAAATTTATAGCAATAAAAAACCAGTAGCTCAGGAAATTGCATGTAAATTTGCTAGTCCGTCCTTTGCTAAATCATATTTTATGAAACTAAATGATGTGTCCTGAGTTTAACTACCTGGAAATAAACCCATTGTTTTCTGTAAGCTTGGAATAAACTACTCGTTGCATTTTCCCTATAACTTTGAAAAATGAATGGATCTTTGTAGGAAATTTGGAAATAGATTTTGGTCATGTTTAAAGTAATATTTAATGTGGTCTTTGAGACCTTCTGTAATTAATTAAGTTGGACAAGATGTGATGTTTAATAATACCCATACTCATCTCAGGGGATTGGAGAATATAAGAGGTGTTTATGGGTGAGGAGGAAGACTTTGTGCCTATTCTAGGCCTTGAGTAGATCAACTTTTTATCCAAGAGTCATGAAGGTTGTGATGTGGGAGTTTTGACAGTGTAGTGAGGCTTAAAAATGCCAGAATTTAATGTAGAATGTATTAAATTCCCAGTATTTCAAGGTAATTGTAAAAAAAAAAGTGTTAAAATAAATGTCAGTCAAGACATCGACTGGTGTTAATATTACACAGGTGTACGGTGTGCACTATTGAACACACTGAAGTTGACAGGGATTTTGCATATGATTCAGTACCGTTATCACATTAAGCATCACACTGGAGTTATTGATAGTCTTGGCTGCAGTTAACAATTTTGGTGACTGTAAAAGAATAACTTTTAATTGACCTTCTGACCATTCACTCTTTAGGAATAGCATTGCTTCAGTTTCAGATACTGAGCTAAGTCTTAGCCCTATTTAGCCCCAAGTCAATGGGACTACAGAACTTTTAATTAAAATGTAATGTCTTGTTAGCGTTATGCTTATGTTTCGATTATCAATAAGTGGACCAAAATAGCACTTTGATAAGAATAGTGATTAAAACTGCATTTAGTTTGCTGAGTGATCTCTCTTCCTCACACAGTATGTTTTGTTATTCTACCAAATTTTGGGGAAAAGGAAACTATATTATGAAAGTTGCCATTAATTTTTTTGAATAGAAAAACGTGTAGAAGAGTTAGGAGTGAAGTTGAGCCTGGACATGATCTCTAACAAATTTTCTCAGAAGTTGCTTTGAAAACATTAAAAAAAACCCAGCTTTTAAGTGATTTTTTTTTTTATTTACACCTTTTGTTATGTGCCTAAATTAATGTAAATTGTGAAAGCTAAGAAATAGGGGCTTTTATATTAAATAATTTACAAGATTTAGTTTTCTACAGAAGTATGCTTTTGCTTATAATTTTTTGTTTGTTTCTTTCTTTTAATAGAGCAGAAAATAACTTAGAGTAGAAAATAATTCCAAGAAATACATTAGAGTCTCAAAATTTTTACCTTTCCAATTTTTTTTCTTTTTAAAACAACTTTTGTAGAATTGCCAATGCTACTCCTATCCCAGGAGATTTGTTGCGAGAAAACACAGATGAAGTGTTTCCTGATGAACAGCTCAGTGATGGAGAGAATGGTATTCCAGTTGGTGTCTCACCAGAGAAACTACCTGGATCCCCTGGGCATCAGCGTCCTCAGGAAAAAGATGTTTGGGAAGAAATGGATGCAAACAGAAATAAAATAAAACTAGGGATCTGTAAGGTACTTACAAATCTGCATTGTAAAGATCATCTTCAAACAGTTTCTTGTCCTCATAGTGCACATAAGATATAATTAATAATGCAGTCTTGCTAATATTGATTAGCCAGCATGGTCTATGAAAACAAGATTTATGGTAGAGCTAACACATTTTATTAGAGCAATTTATATACTGGAACAAGCAGACAAGCTTTTGAACCTTGTGTCACTTTATCAGGTCTTTATGATGAACAGTAGATTGCTGATAATTTGAGATTCTTTGTAGTTTATTCATATTCATGTTCATCAGACATGATTTTCATTCTTGCTCACTGAATGAAACCAAAGCACATTTCCTGCATCTTGCATGTGTAGAAGTTAGATACTGAATATACAAAAACTGGTTTAATGTTATTTTTCAATTGACAGATTGACAGTGTGATTGGCAGTATCCATTTAATTCACTTGGTGTTTTTGCCTCCATAAGATATGATACCTTTGTACTGATCCAAATTTGGTTCACGGGCTAGTCTTCAGAAGAGAATGCTGCTTAATTTTGAAAAGTGGTCTCTAAGAAGTGGTTCTTTTCTCCTTTGCTCACAATCACGGTGTCTCATACTCGGACAAATGTAGCCCTCTTTCTTGATTAAAAAAATGTTTTGAACATGAAGAGGGATCTGCTACTGAAATGTTCTTTAGCTAGGAGAGCTCTCTAGCTTTGAGGCTGTTACTTCTTGTTTACTAGAAAAAAATGTTTTGTGGGAAAGAAAAAGGCATGGTGCCTCTTTTCAAATGTGCTTATTTGCTTGCTTGTTTTCTACCAAAGAGGGAGAAAGGAGATTGCTCTGGTTTAAACAAAGGCATTTTCTATTGGTTAAACCTGTTGAAACTAAGGATGATCATGATTTCCCAGCTCTAAATCATGTCCAGTTAGTATACAAGGTGGAATGCAGGTGGACTAAAACATAGTTCTAAGTTGCAGAAATATGTACTAGATTTAGTGTATAGCAGTGTTATATGCTCCAGAGAATCATAAAGACAGCTTGGAAACCAGCTTCTCTTTAATAAGACCACTTGACTGTAAAGCAGACTGAAGATGCTACCAAGTGCTGGGTTGCAGACTATTATTAAAGAAAATCTCAGAGATGGGTGTGAAATATCAGAGTAAATTTAAGTGTGTTACTGGGTTTTTGAGACTCCTGTTCTCAGACCTACCCAGAACTAGTATATTACTAGTATTTTGTCTGTTGCAGGTGTGTGCTGAAAAGCATATCTAAACTACCTTAACTATGTAATGAACTTAAGGACCATTCCAAATACAAATTGGCTTATCACTGGCTAAAAACCTGAGTGGTATTCACCACGTAGTACCTTGCCTTCCTCTGTTTTGCCTCTTCTAGTGAGTTACATTTTTCTTTACTTTTTGCATAGGCTGCCACAGAGGAAGAAAACAGCCATGGGCCAGTGAATGGAATGCTTAATGCACCAAGTCTTGGTTCTCCAATTCGTGTTCGCTCAGAGACCACCCAGCTAGACAGAGATGTCCCACTCGTGCGAAAGTTACGTTCAATTCACAGCTTTGAACTGGAGAAGCGTCTGACATTGGAGTCAAAGCCAGACACTGATAAATTTCTTGAGACCTGGTAAAGAAATTATTTTATTTTTATGCTTAGATCTTTTCAGGATATGTAGTTAAGATACTATCATCTTTTCTCTAGTGTGTGAAAACCAGGAATGGAGCTGCTGAGTTATGCTTACACAAGCTACAGCAACTATTTACTGTGTTCATAATACTGGTCCATTAATGGGTTTCATCACTTGGCACCTTCTTTAAAAACAGATTAGTGATAGTATACAGTCAAAGTTGGACTTCCACACTTGAGAATTTTTTATTTCAAGACCTAGTGGTGTAATCCTGATGTTTATTACCTTTTTCTTCAGTGGGATACTCTTGACAGTCAGTACGGCTGATCCTAAATAAGAATGATGACACCAGGTGCTCAGTAGAGGTAACATGGGATTAGATTATACGACATGAGAAGGACAGTTTACAAGAAGTGGAGTTATGAAGTAAAGTTAGAAATCTACCAGCATGCAGCAGGTTTAGTTATGCCCAAAGGTGTTGCACCAACATATAAAAATCTTGATAGAAGACAGAGGTCTTAAAATGGGATTTGAAGCTAGAGAAGAGACAGATGTATGAGAACAGATTCAATCAATTTGCCTATGTGTAGAAAGAATAAGGAGGAAGGACACAGTGAAATCCAACTGAAAGGCAGAGGCTGAATGGGGACAGTAGAAGACAGCTGAGATGCTGGTACTGGCAAAATCCTTCTAAATACATCATAGGGGGTTAGGAATTTGAATTTGTTTGATGAAGCAAGTTATGCAAAGCATAAATAAGGAATCAGTCAGAAAAATTGATAACATTCTTCTTGAAAGCATCTACTAACTGCTGCTGGAGACATCTGTTTCTTCTCTTCTGCTTTGAGTGTCTGCTTTGTAGCATAAACTAAGTGGACATCTGGTGGTAGCCTCACCACTGAGTTGGTATCCACTCACTATTCTCCCTTCTGGTAATTACATTTACAATACAATACATTACAATTACACTTACAATATGGACAAATTTCTAAGACCATTTTTACTTGACATCAGAGTTATTTGTCTCAAATTGTGGATCTTTCAAGCATTGTAGACTGTTCTAAAATATGACAACAGATTTTTATATAAATCTAGTTTTCCTCTATTGAAAAAACGCAAATGTAGCTTACATGATTTAATTAATTCTTGACTAATTCAGATATTAACTTCTTTTCTTAAGTTTGGAGAAGATGCAGAAAGACTTGAATGCTGCGGCAGAGACTCCTGTTGCTGCTGTTCCTCCTCTTTCTCAGAAAACACCCGTTCCTGCTCCTGTGACTGCCTGCATGGACCATGTTTGGCACTATGATGAAGAATATCTTCCAGACGCTTCAAAGCCTGTGTCAGCTAGTTCTCCAGAACATGCTGATGGTGTTGTTAGCAATGGATTTGTAGCTGTCAACTTAAGCTCCTCGAGGCAGGAGGTTGATTCTAAGGAATGGGTGATAATAGATAAGGAACGGGACTTGCAGGACTTCAGGACAAATGAGGCTTTAGGGCACAAAACGACTGGAAGTCCCTCAGATGAAGAGCCAGAGGTACTACAAGTTCTAGAGGAGACCCCTCCAGAAGAGCAGCCCAGACAGGGTGGTTGGGCAGGAAACAGTGTCCATGCCAAGAACCAAACCTCAGGGGTGGAGTTTGTTCTAGCCATGGAGTGTTATCCTGCTGCTTCCGAACAGCTTACAGATAAATTGGAACTTCTGTCTGGAGCTACTGGACAGCTTCTTGCAGCCACCCCTACAAGTCCTATGGAAGCTCAAGCAGAAGGAGTGCTCACTCCGGTAAGAGAAACGGTCACTGGTTTGCTTAACCTCTCTTTATTCAGAATTACATGAGGAGATAGTAAGGGAAAAGGCAATGATTAAAATACAATAGTATAGCAGAAATTGCTAGTTTCATCAGATATGGACTTGATTCTTGAGGAATGATCTTCCACGTTCTGCTATATGAGTGTTTACATTCTCCCATGGAAGTGGCTATTAGTTCTGCAGGTATGATCCACAGAACTGGCCTTAATAAAAAAAATAAAGTAATTTTAT